GCAGTTATGATCCCAAATCACACGTAGATTTTATTTTTCTTATTATCCCATCAGTAGAAAAAAAAAGGTTGAAAGGGCACGTGTTGATTGGGAATATCTACCATATTACGCGAAATTTTTTTTCGTTATGGATTCATGTACGTTTTCATTTCTAGATCTTATTGGCTTAAAATGAACATGTTGGCCGATTTTGATTAAAATCTAAGTCTATTTTATGTATTTTCTACACTATTATATAAATAAATATTTTTTATTATAATTATAACTACAATCTGTTACTTTTTACTGCAAACTCGATAATAATATCAGTCAATTGATAATTAATATAATAATAATTTTTATATTCATATAATAACTTAATTTTATCTATCTTGTGTTGCAATTTTTAGTTTTTTTTTTTAATAAAATAAAAGTACAATGATTTTTTTTTCATCTATTTATCTAATATGCATTTTATTGGGGTTTTTTATTTAAAAAAATGATATTTTTGGATGTTAAATTAATTGATTAATTAATCTAATAAAAATTTATGACTGTCATGGGATTCTTTTTCTTTTTCTTTCTCTTGGGCACAAATACAATTTGGGGGAAGGTTGATAATTTGTGTTCTTCTTGGAAATGGTGATGGAGGAGGAGACAGAAGACAAACCCTACAAGATCTTTCAATCCTCTAAGAATATTGGAAGTTGATTGCCTGTGTATTATGTATGTAGGGTGGGGAAGAATCATCATCTCTGTAGAGGCCAAATCAAACAAAATAATAATGGATTAAATAAATACTCCAAACATTTTATATACTAAAAAATATATATATATATATATGTGTGTGTTTGGTTATAAATTTACTGTAAAGGGTAGTCAATATCATAATTTTATTTTGTATATTTTGATTATTTTTATTATTATTATACAAATACATTTTTTTATGTGTGTGTGTGTGTATATATATCAAGTGGGATGGGATCTACAAATCTCATAACCACACCTATAAATATTTTTTTATTTATATATTGTTTTACTTCTTTGGTATTATATAAGTGTGAAAATTACTTCATATTTAATGTTTAATTTATTGAAAATTAATTTATAAAAATTTAATATAATTAAATGCACACCAATACTCTTACTCATGGTACCACTTATTTTTTTTTGCAAGAAATTTAAATATATAAATTTACAAAATTATTGTTTAATTAAATAATTAGTATATTTATTATTTTATAAAAAAATAAAAATTTGGATCTAATTCTATTTATTTTTAAGTTAAAAATTATTTATTTTATATTATAATTGACGTGTGTGTATATCATCTAATTAATTAATATATGAATTTTGTTAAGTTATTCAACAGTAAGAATTAATTAAAATTAGTGTTTATAATATTTAATGCATATTTTAAGTTTATGAGTATTAAAATTCCGCGAATTTTATAAAAAATTAATAAATTAAATACCCAGTCGATGAATCCAATAATTAAATGAACACATACACAACACGTTAGTATTTAAGATAATAAAAATTATAATTCTTTGAAATTACAAGTAAAAGTGTAAAACAAAACAAAATTGAGACTGAGATGACTATTCGTTGATGCTTACATGAACTAAATTCTGAAGACGAAACTTTTAAAGAGGAATGGCTGTGACGTTTTGAAAAGAACAGTCCAATGCGGTTGCCATCCGGTGAATCAGAAATGTTAATATCTAGCGTTAGCAATTGCCAGCTGGCAAGGGAATTGAGATCCTCCTGTCATGTTAGACCTCCTCCGGGAAACCAAAGCTCAGAAGCCGGAGAAGTAAAACCGTTATAGAAAGAGCAGAGAAAACTAAAATTTCAAAAAATTTAAAATATACCCGCCATTTACAGAACGAAACATTTCTTCCCCTTACAGAAATGGCTCCATTTCCATCTCCACTCGAACGTACTGTTGCTTCAGCTCTTCTCCTTCTCTCCAACAGACCAACAACTCCCTCTCCTCCAGAGTAAACAATCTCAATCGCATTTGATTTCGCATTTCAGTCATTTTTTCGATTTTTCTTTTTAATTCACTGTTCTCTGTAGATCGCGGTTTGATGCAGAACTGGTGGGAGAGGAAACAGGGAGCAATAGCAGCGATGATCAGAGCATGAGCTTGGCGTCCGCTGAATCAAAGCCGTCTGTTTCGGCTCTTGATGCATCTCGAGAGATCCTCGATCACCAGCTGAGGATAATCACGGTTGCTGCTCGCTGCCATGAGATGAACCTCAAGGTTGTCTTCTTGTTATCTCTCTGTTTTGGATTCTGAGTTCTAAATTTGAATTGTTATATCCGTTTGATTCTCCATCAATTTTCTTGAGAAGTTTCCTTGTCTCTTCTGAATTACTAGCAGAGGTCACCTAGTGTTTACGACTTCATATTCTGTTATTCTAAGTTGCGTTGGTTTGCTTGAATTGAGAAACTCACCGTTAGGTGCTGTTTTTTCTTTTTTTCCCTCTATTGGAGTGTCTTCGAGTTATAGCATATCGAATATTGCTCTATGAGGATGTAAGGTTCTGGACTCTTCATTTGCTCTGGATTTGTTCTCTAAATCGTTGTGTTCGTAATTTTAACTTTTTATTTGAATTCGAGTTCAAAATGTTACTTCTACTCTTTCTTCAACTATGACCTCGAACTTCCACTATCAATCTGTTTGGCGACATTTTTTTAACATTGTCCGTTAGTCCTGATATGTTGGTTTCAATGTTTTCCTCTCAGTTTATGCGTCCATGCTCTACATTTGGGAGTTCTTTTCGACGTTCAAACTCAAATTTATCTGCTAATAAATACAGTACTATGTTGATATTGTTGTCTCTACTTGTCATATAAGTTGCAGTTCAAGTCTTCAAAAGTTAGAATCATTGGATTTGGAAGTTAAATTTCATTTTACATTCCCGGAGTCTCCTGCAGGTGGTGCGGAGGAGTCGTTCCAAGCTCTGTCTCTCCGATGACGGTGAAAAAGCCGCCAAAAAACCATTGAATAAGGCATCCTCTAGATCCGACACAACAGAGGTTTCGTGCTTGTCGAGCAGCTCGAACGCGCGAAGCCGATGTGTCGGCAATGTTGAGAAAAGTTGTGCCAAGGCTCTCGAGGAACTAAAGAAGAAGCACGGAGGTGGTTCGGCTCAAATGCTTCGCCGTGCTGAAGCCATTTTGAAGTTGCTTTCTGACAGTGGTTCCTCTGAAATGAAGATCCGCCAAGTGCTCGGCGACAGCCCTGACACAAGCAAAGCTCTCAGAATGTATCCTCTCTTCCTCTCTAAACTTTTCACGTGACTATTGGCTCAATGCCCTTCTCGTAGCACCAGCATTGACAATTTTTACGATGATTGAATCATTAAGACCGTTCCTTGATTGCATGACACTTAAAATGACTGGAACTACAAACTTACGGTAGAGATGCGTAAAACATGTTGTCGTTTTGCGAGCGTAAAAATACTTACAAATGTAGATATACATATCATTTACGAATACATCTACATGTACATATACGTAGACAGTTTGTTGGGTTCTTTATTTGTGGGAAAATCCTATCCAGGATTACATCTAATATGACTGCATAGTTATGGGAAACTCCTATCCAGCAATATAAAATATGAAACAATTTTACATTAAATTGCAGCTCGTAACATATGTTTTTAAACGGCACAAAGTTGTTATGAGCATTCATTCACATATGCTGCATTGTAGCAATGGAGAGTCCAGGAAAAAACACCGTCTTCGAAGCTGTTTTTAGTAAATGGTCAAGCTGCGATGTTGGAAATAATAAGCCTGCTCTTGAGTCTTATGACAGAAAGAGATAACACCAATGGTTCTCTGCAGGTTGTTGAAGTTGGAGGAAATCAAGAGGTCTGGCACAGGAGGGAGGCAGGACCCGTATATTTACACGGTACCTATACATACAATTTACAATTTATCTAAAGCTTATTACATACACTTTAGTTTTTCAAAAAATATATAAATTATATTAAGATAATTAAAAAATAAAATGTGAGAATTCATGTAGATCTGAAACCATATATTTTAAAATTTATTAAAACTGATTGAAATATGTATTGTTTCAGTTTTATATGAATTCAGTTTTTGTTATTTTATGTAAAATTTTAATCATTTTCTAATAAAATTAATCATAAATAAATTCTTACATTTTAATTTTATTTCAAAATACAGAGAATGTTATATAGTAAAATACTACTAGTGTACGGTCTAATTGACAAATTTGAAGTCATACAGCTACAACATCATATTCTTTGCATATTAGTTTCATTTAATTTCAAGTGAGCTAGAACTCTTTGGATAATTGTGGAGATTAGAACTCAGACCTTAACTTCATCCGCCTACTTTAGGTGAAGAGAAGTATATGTGCACGAAAGAAATGCCAACATGTATTAATAAATTACTGTTTTAATCTTAATGACTATGATTATTTTCTACCTAACATAAAGTGGAAATTAATGGAGACATTGTACCTTCGAACCATGACAGCACTGCACTACTCGTGAGTCTAAAGTTACTTACAATCGTTAGTCGCGGTTATTTTTTCTGACATATAGCTTGGGATAAATGGATATTGTTTTTATTTTTTACAGATAGCCTGAGAAATTTGGAAGTTTTTTACTCAAAGTAAAGGCAGGTCAGTTTTGTATAGTTTTGATTCTCATTATCCCATGTAGGAGAACTTTTGGTGCAATTAATAGGTATAATAACTGATAGTCATCTTGCCTTTCACCAGCATAATTACTCCAAATAGTAGATGAAAAGATTTGCCTTGGCAAATAATTTTCATTCAACGCACGCGTCAAGTAATGAATGACCTTTTTTTTTTTTAAGTACTATATCTTCGGTGACTTGTTTACTCTTGAATTAAGACTCTTACCAAAGAGTTTATGCGAAATAAAAATGCAGTTATTGTGATTACATGATATGCGATCAACTATACTTTTTGTGAAAAGCTTCTCCATAGCTTTTATATTTTCTTTATGAAATTAAACTCAATGCAACTCAATTGATTTTTTAACCTAGCGTATCTTTATAAAAATACTGACATCTATTTAAAGCATATTAGGCTATGCTTGAAACAAATCAATAATCTTCTCTAATTTGTAAAATTTATATAGAAATTCATTGAAAGAAAAGTTTGTTAAAATGGAAATTTTTTAAGAAAAATTAAGTGAATATGAAATAATATTCTCTAATTTTATTAAAATTGCTAAAATTAAAATTCATTATGAATAATTTTATTCCAGAAATCTTTTACAATCTTCGATAAAAATTTTTTTTACCCTTTTAATTTCTTCTCGATAATTAATTTTTTTTAAAAAATAAGGTGTGAATTTTCAAGTAAATTCAATATAATTTGTTGATTAGTTCCAAACATTGCTTTAGCTTGTTACATACCATAAATTTTTAAAATGATCATTCAATTGACTACATAAATTCACATGTAAACCTGTTTTTAATTAATTTTACTGTCGAGAAATGTCAAAACGGGTGAAGAGCCAAAACTTTTACTCGGCCTAGCAGGGTTTATTTCATATTGGATCTAGTCCAAGAGGGAGATTAGATCGGACAACAGGATGGGCCTACCAGATTAGATGTGTTCTGACTCATCATAAAAAATAAATGAGCAATAAATTATGGACGACAAATTTTTTTAAAGAAATAATCAATCCATGGGCCTCACCATTATTTTTAAATTTTTTAAAATGCTAATATTTTGAAAATATTTAAATATGTTTAGAAGTTTATTGAGCTTAATATTATTCTAAAAGATATTGTTAATATAAATTTGATATTTAATTTATCATTTTATTTTATTCAGCCCAAACAGGTTGCAGACCGGGACAAATGAACTTTGTTGGGCTCCTTGACTCAGTCCAGGTCACCCCACTCACTAGGCTAGGCCTGACCCATTGAGAATCTCACATGAGGCCATACCTAGCCCGAACCAACCTTTGAGAACTTTTAAAATTACATCATAGTTCTTATAGAAATCAACAAACCCTCAAGCAGAATCTTCTTCGATCTCATTAATTCACAAGACAAAGGCAAAAGTAACTATAAAATAAGAAACGGGTGCTATAGCAATGCGGATATATAAAAAATATAAAGGAATACCTGACTATCCAGTCGAGCAATATCAGACCAGGTTTTTCCTTCATGATCACCTAGATTTTTGACAGAATTTGGCCACTATTAAGTCTAAATTGTGGAAGCTTCCTGTAATTCTCGGTTGTTCATCCTTAACTATGCAGTCCGGAAGCTCCAGAAACTTGGATGGAGGAGCATCGTGTTCAAATCTTCTGTGAACGGATACAACTAAGATTCAATCCCTACAACTTTGTATGAAAACACCCCCTAAATGAACCATAAAGAGGTAGAGATCTTCTAAAACTGTAAATGTCATCTATCTGAACCGTCGGTGGTTGAGTTTGTTTGTTTTCATCCAATGTGAGCTCAGAAAGATGTTGACTCCCATACACTAGTACACTCAGCTTCTTCTTCTGAGGTGCACCGACTTTTATATGATCGTTGAAGAAATCAATCAATTCTTGCTGGGTGAGTTGTCTTAACACAGAGACCTATACCAAAGCCATTTTCAGAGTCAAAAATAGCTTGACATTGAAACTCATTATCTAGAATCCAAACCATTTAAATTTGCTCAAATAATTTGGAAATATTTGCCACCATACTTTGCTAGCATTATACAACAGAATTTGAACAAAAACAATGTAACTATTCTTCATTTGGTGCACAAAAAACAGGATTCATAATAACAATAGGCATTTCAAGCTTCATTTTCAGTTACAGGTTTTTAAAGGTATAGCACACACTTGGAACTATATCAAATTAAAAACCTCCCAATCATAATATCGATCAGTGGCACTGCACCAAGTTGAGCACTGAACCAATACTGTCTAAGAATTCATAATAGCCCAATTGAAAGACTGCCATGTTCACTTCCCTATCATCCCTCTACTTTGTAAAAAAGAGAGAGAGAGAGAGAAGTGGGGTTAGTGGATATCTGACAATCTTTCTCACTTGCAAGAAAATAAAGAGCAGTCATACCTCAGCCTCTCTTCTATCAAACTTGAGGGTCCCATCAGCAATCTCTCTCCAGTAGAATCCGCATTCTTCTCTCAGGTTCTTGTGCTTTTCAAGCTTCATATCAATCAAGGCATTTACATTGCTCTGTGGAACAGGTTTTGCAGTTATAATTACATCTAAAACAGGGATTAGTTTATAAATGTAAGCCTATTCAGAATCCTCATGACTTAGAAAACAATTAATGCATGAAAACAGATAAATAATTGAACAGATTGTTGAATATTGGCATCAAAATGCATCAGGAATTGGGAAGAATCGAAGCATCCCATCCTAATTCTGTTATCTTTTGATAAACTTCAGTATATATAATTGCTTAACTTTATGCGGTATCGAACAGAATGTTTCACATTTCTGCTTAAAATAGATGGCATAGCGAGAGTTGGTCATTCTCTAGATATCAGAAACTTCTACTGGAAATTCATAATAACAACCATTAAAATTGCAGAGAAAGAAATATTCGAGAATAGAAATTATTTCTTACCTTGAATTCGTCAGCAGTCATTTCATAAAGTTTAGTCTCAAACATTTTGAGCAATGCCTCGACCCTCGAATCAATGTGTTGGGGACCCTGTTAAGAAGCAAATAGTACTCACTATGTCAAGGAACTTATTGAAATCCACAATAGTATGAAGACAAAAAGGCAGCAGAAAATACAGCAACAAGGAATGTGCACCTTCACTGTTGACTGGATAATGAATTGCACGCCACGGATGCCAGAATCGTACCTATAATTGAGGGAAAAGATTAGGAAAAGCATACTTCAAGTAGTTACCAAAACGAAGGGATAAAATTTTTCTAGTGACCTCTGCATCAGCACGGTAATGTAACCAAGTTGCTCTACCGATCTGAGCTGGTGGAATGCAGGTTGCTTTGCAACTAAAGCAAAAAGCTGAAGTTTCACATTCAAAATGAAATCATCTCGATGAACCTGCATATCATAACAAAACATCGTGTCAGAAGCACCATGTCGTTAGAAAGTATATGCATCAAATAATACTATCTGTTTGATGAAGTTATAAACTAAACTTCTCATGAATAGAAGTAATTTCTCCAGAGTAAACCAGAGAACATGTCTCCACTTGGTACATGAACAGATTTTCCAATTTTCATTTTTATATACATTTCTATAGAATTATATTATATACCATGTATGCATATACTGGTTCTACAAATAATAAAAAATGTTTCTAAAAAAGATTACTAATTTTTTATTATTTCTAAACTCGTGTCATAGTTTTTCTTTTATTTCCTACATGTTAATTTCACTTTCAATTATCATCAAACATTAAAAAAAATATTTCCATGTACCAAATGGAGCTTGCTACTCTCCACTTTTACTCAAATGATAATATGGAAAATGATAGATTGACCGTTTCCCATTAAGTCAAAATCAGCAAGACAGGAAGAGAATGATGAAACAAAAGCCATAACGGAGAGATACACCTTCCTTTTTTCCTGAGTGAGATTACCTGAATATAGTGAACTATAGCAGAGTTCTCATCATTTGGATTTAGGCCTCTCTTAGAATAGCTGTAACTCATGCCCTTCCGGAGCTTAACAACTCTATTTGTCAAATGTTGTGATGAAAATAATGGTCGGCATATGGGGTTTGGACCCTTGAAGAAAACATCTTCAACATGCTCAATCATTGACTCTGCTTCATTGCGCTCAATATTACCTGCAAGGGGAAGATAATAACGCGAGCAGAAAATGTTATATCCAACAATATATATATATAGAGAGAGAGAGAGAGAGAAGGAGGAAGCTAAATACCTGCTACATAACACTCTAAGAAGGCCCTTGAAAGCATCATAGGGGCAAATTTTGCAAGATCTTCAGCTCCAAGATTAGGAAGAACTTCAAGTTCTTCCATCCACGACCATGTTTGATCCAGTAGAATTAATGAGCAATAGTACATAGCTTGCTGATAGGGTTGTTGAAAATTAAAATTTTGATATTCCTTCATCACCATCTCCTGAAAGAAGGTTTGAAGAAGAAAAGGATCAAGAAAACATTGATCTCGAGGTAACTGATGAAAATTCCTATCAAATTTGTTGCTTAACCTATAAAGAAGAAGACCTCTACATAAGAATACAACCAAGTAGTACAAGGTAGCACTTCTGCCTCCAAATGGGTTTGGAGCTGGACCTTGAATTGCCATTCATATATTTATATAACCGTAAATTTGAAGTTAAATGGAGAAACAATAATTATAAAGGTGGGAATAAATAAAACAATGTGCAACATGATGAGAAAACAAGGTGGTTTTGTTCGAAATTGATCTAGAACAATAATCCTTGAACCAGATTGATGCGGATTGTGTCACAAGACAACAAGTTTCTTCAGTTTTAAATCAGTTTACTGGGTGGTGTATGGATGATGTAAAATAGAGGGGCACATGGCTGGAAAAGGACAGAGAAGTTACTACTCATTAGGAGTAAGCTCTTGAAATAGTGGAAGTTATTATTCTTCAGTTTACGATTGCAGGAATCATGATTTTGTTTCTGGAAGGTGTATCTGGACACGTGGATGGACACATGGTGTATAAGAGACGGAAACATGAATATGACTGGACACATGGTGTATAACAATAGACGCTGCCATCTTTCAGTTCAGAACTGCAAGAATCCATGGTTGTAATTTATTTAGTACGTAATAGACTCTTGAGAAAATGGAACTTAGATAAGTTCTAGTAGAATGATTTCAGTTTCTATATGTGTGGAAATTCAGTTACTTCAAACCAGGAAGGTTACTATTCCTTTATGAGTAGTTGTATTCTCATGTATAAGATCAGGGCACGGATTTGAATTCTGATTATGCAGAGAAATGTTTCATGACTTCTTGTTTACTTTAAGCTCTTGGAAGTATTTAGGTTTCCTGTATCGAGCCTATACAATTTATTCAAAATAGAGCATAAGTTAAGAAGAAGCTTCAGGAGGTATTCTTTTCCTCTTGTCTCCGATTTCTATGTTAATAGACCCATAACGAGATTATAAAGCTGGGACCCTACTAGACACAGAACAGAATGACTAAAAAAAGAGGGAAAAGGGAAAGAACATGAGATGAGAATGGAAGCAGGGAAAGAGAAATTAAAGAATTAAAAAAGATAGGATAATACAAGGGACAATAAACCACAGATTGCCATAAAAACTTAGCACATGAAGATATATGGAAACAGATACACAGACCGAAGATTAATATATGGACTTTGCATAAATTCCAAATTATGGACAATATATGAGTGAATAATAACAGGAGAGGATGAGACTCCAAAAATCTGAACTTAGAACCTTGAAGTCTTATACCAAAATGGGAAAATAATCTATAAGACCCTGGATCGGAACCAGGATCAAATCTTATGTCAAATAATTCAGCTTTACTCAATAGGAAATAACTTGATTTCATTGCTTTAGTTATAGGCTAAAAAAGCTATCAAACACCAAACAAAAAAGAAGATATAATGATTTAAGCATTTCTCTCTCAGCTGAAAAATCTCTCACTCATTCACATCAGAAATACACTAACATTGGAGCTTGCATATGAGGGAGACAAGTGACAAGGTACATGTTCCTATATGAACTAGGTTACAGAGACAAGGAATGGAAGTGATTTGTCCACCTTGAAAGTTTCTTCTCAATGATGAACAATGTGACTACTTGAGAACTCAGCATCACAGAGCCTGTATGGCTTCCAGAGCAACAAATTCTCACAGCAAAACATGATCTAGCACTAACTCGACAATGATTAAGTGGATAAAGAGATGCTTTTTCAAAAAGAAATATAACAGCTATGGAAATACACAATTGATATTTTTTGGTAGAAAGTTGCCATTACCTTGATCACAGAGAATCTATCAGGTCTCACTTCAAACTTAGCAATTTTTTCAACAACAGTTTCCAGTAAGATCCTCAACTTGTGATTATAACCGAGGACAGTAACCTAGAAACAGAACAAATAAGTGGTGAAATGTAGCTTGCAGCATTTGCATATGGACATACACATCAATTCATGCAGAAGGATGTAGCAAGAGAGGCCAACAAAGAGCTACAGTTAAGTAACAAAATTCCAGTATCTGCTGTTTTTATAGACAGCACTATCATGCATAACAGCAAACTACCATCATAATTGGAAAAAGAAGTTGGTAAGAAATAAGAACCTGAAAACCATTATCTGACTGATGAATGCTGTAATATAGACCAGCAACCTGAGCATAATAAGCTGAAACATATGAGACAAAAATAAGTCCTGGGTTCAAGAAAATAGATTTTTTTTCACAGGATTAACTGACTAGAAGAGTTCTATGCTGAAGGCATTAATTGCTAAACCAAGCTGCACCTGACCCCTGCCCCGCCCACACAGCTGGGAGAGAAAATAAAAAATGGGGAACTAGAAAGAAAAATAGACAAAAGGCACCGAGGGAGTGTCACCAAATTGTAATAGAAAGAAAGAAAAAAGGGAAAAAGACAGTGATCACATTATAAAAAAGTGATGTAAGAAGATAATCATGTTCACTACTCAACTAAGAGTCAACAAAAACAAAACAAGATTGGTCATATTGGTCTCATGTACCAATCTGCTCAGCTAAAAAAGGAAAAATACACAGTAAACAACCATCACTGAAGTCCTTCATTTCCATAAACGTATCCAACATCACTGAATGTCTTACCATATTCATTCAAGTAATCCATCAACAACCGTGCAAATATATGAGTAAGAACTTCAGTTTCAGGAGAGATGCTGGCATGAGGACAATTGAATTCAATCTTAACATATGCCTTGGGAGTGGAAAACATTGTATCGGGCTTGTACCACAACTTTGAGGAGGGAGAATTTCTCAACAAAACTGGAAATTTGACCTGCTTCAAATGTACATATCTTTAGAACAGTTACATTATAGAGCAGAAAGAAGAATCTATAATTCTATTGCAAAAGTACATCAAACCTTGTCCTGTGTAGCCTTAAGTGCCAAATCAGTAGGAATGAAGATATTTGGTGTTGGCAGGTGCAAATTTTCATTTGGACTACTTAGCATCCACTCCTGAAAATAGTGAAGAATTATCAGCATCTTTTCATAGCAATTTATTCCGGTAAAAAGAGAAAAGAATAATTTCATTTCTAGTTAATCTGGTTCAAAAAACCTAGTGAAGATAATGTTTGAAACTCCATTAGAATGTTTAATCATTAATGTTGTACGTTGTATTTCAAATAACTTCCAAAGACAAACCTGAATCAAAGGGCTGGTAATTTTCTCTATAGAGTAGGAAGTGTTGTACCATGGTTCAACCCTGTCAGTATGTCCTTCAAATTTCTTTGATTCCCAAAAGATTCTGTAAATTGGAAGCTTAGAAGCAAAATCACTATAACTGAACCATGATGGTCCAGACTTGAACTTGAATACATAACCCCACTTCAGATACTTTTAAATAGTCAAAGTTATCCGAGAAATATTGTACCATGATTTTAATTGAACTGATACAAAATCATGCTGAAACATAGTTAGTTAAGGTTAAAGAAAGCCAAGTCAAAGGAAGAACCTGGCCTGCGAAAACATGTCATAGTTTTGGTAAGTTCAAATCTTAATCATCATATAATGAAGCACACGGTATATTAAGGACTTACAAAATTAATTAATCAACACCAACCACACCCCCTCTCCCCCCCCCCCCCCCCAAAGAAAAAAAAAAATTCTCAGTGAAGATATTACACAAAATCTGAAAATACATTTCCATTACATTCACAAAGAAAGAATTAACATAAAATCAGACCTCAAAAGGTTAATCAGAGGCCTAAATCATTCCTTCTGTACCAGGTGGGCAGCCCCTTGATGCCTTATTAGTGTCATTTTTCTCAATTAAAGATTAAACAAACGCAATGAACTACTTCAAGTTGTTGTAAGGCATCTACAAAGTCATGGTCTAAGAATCTAGAAGGGCCATTCTTCCATAAAAAGTTTCTTCTAAAACAGCATAAGGTTTAACAAAAGAATTTCCAGAAATCAGATTGACTAAATATTTGAAATTAATAGACTTTCTAAAGCATATGTACTCCATACAGGGGCATCAATATGTACAAAAGTAAAGTCTAACTTAGATGAACACTGAGAAAATAAGCAGTTTAGGAGCACTTCCACCTACCGAACATTATCAGGAGAAAGCTCGTGTAGCACCATTTTTATGACATCTGGATTGAAATTAGAAGGCAATGATGATCCCACTAGCCAATCTTTTGGGGGGTATATCTGAGAAAAAAATATCAAGGCTGCTTTGGTACATGAAAAATTTTGTAATTTCATTTTCTATACACATATATGTGTACTATAAACGCATGCAAGTACTATATTCATATATCTGTGTGTATGATTTTGCTCATAAAATATATGCATATATAGAGACATATGCATGCGTACTAATATATGTATGTACATAACACGTATAAGTATGAGTATAAATTTTATACATATGGATATATTTAAATATGTAACATCTTATGTAAAATAGAACATAGCTATAAAACACTGGAAACAACTTCTTTATTGTTTTTAAATCATAATATTTTCATTGTCTAAACTTGGTCTTTACAAAGGGAGTTGGAACTACCTTCATGTTTAATGCAACATCAACCACATAATCAATGGGCCGGATTTTGTCCTGGTAATGAAATACCGTCTCACAAACAGCTGAAAGCTTCAATAAGAAAATCACTATGCATTAGGATCTTCAAAGAAAAATTAAACAAGAACTTCAGACTATGAATCTGAGTAATAATAGTACAAATTGAAACATGGGAAAGGTTTTTGAAATCATCAATAGACATCCAAAATATCATCCTCAAATCATTATGAAACATGTGCTATGGCAGTAAATAGATGATTAAATAATTTTTGCCCATGTATCTCTTGTAAGACCTAAAAAATAATGATCATCAAGACATTAATTAGCAAATTTTAAACACTGATTAATCAATATTTTAGTAAAATTCCAGAGTATGGCCATAATATTTCACTGACATATTTACTACAAAAACTGAATTTTTTAAGTTTAATGAATAAAAAATTAGGAAAATTTTATTTGATGAATAAAAAATTCAGAAGTGTGATCAGGCCAACAATGTTCTGCAATTGTTTTTATTCAATTAGGAGTTATGTTGTTCACAATGCTGATTGACATTATCTTCAAATTGTAATCCTTGCTTTTCCTCACAAAAAGTTGAAAAAGAAATAACAATTCATTCAAATCCACATTCTTAAAAAGTAAAAGCTGTGAGTGAATAACTATTTCCAACTTGTGAAATTCAGTCAATGTTTCTTGAAAAGAAAATGTATATTGGGAACAAAAAGAACTAACTGGGTGGAGGGTAGTTAATGGTATTCAAACGAATTTGTACCGAAGGACAAGCCTTAAAAATTTGCAGGAGAATGATCAAAGACAAAGCAGAATTTCAATCTGTTTTCCCAAGGTTTACTCTTTTCTTTTAAGGAACCTATAAAGTAGACAACCTAATATCGAAGCTCAAAAGGAGCTTATGATTGCAGCTATGCAAGCAATGAGAGAAACATTTGCCCCAATTTTTTGATAACTTAATGAAAGAGTAAGTTAGGCATCTTATGCATATGCATACCTCGTCAAATATCCATTGGCAAACTCCAGACTGCTGTAACAGCTGAATGTATTTAAATAGTAATCCTACAATATCTTGCATGTGCTCTGTAACCCAATCAAAGAGGAAAAACAGTATTAATCTATCTACTAAGCACAAATTAGGATACAAAAAGCTTTCAAATTTGTGTCAGAATGAGATCACAGAGAGTAGAAGTCCTAAGCACTTATGAACCACTGCCCA